GGAATAACAAGTGTAATATCCACTAAAGCAAAGCTTAAGTATATAACACCAACACAGCATTCAGATTGGAGATCAGCCAGCAGCCAGGAGATGATGACCAATACGTTTCACAGTTTCGTTTTGAGATCATGTCTTATCAGTGGAACACTTTCTTTCAGAAAAGTGTCCATTCTCAGTCAGCAGTATTCTACAATTCACTTAATTGTGAATTGATGTATTTTCAGTTCAGATCAAGTCTCTTATTCAGTATTAAATTACTGGATTCTCAAGTCATGTAATCAGTAAGTATAAGCTTTAAGTTAAGCTTGTACATTTCAGTTTTAGTATTTCCGAGGACGGAAATATTTTAAGGGGGATGGATTGTAACGCCCCGTATTTTATTAATAAAGGAAAATACTAGCTTTTAGTTTTAAGCTAGCCTTTATTAATAAATAATCATGTTCATGTTCAAGTTCAGATTAATCAGTCAGTTATATTCTAAGTTCGAGTATTAGTCGATAAGTTATTCAGTTTACTTATTTTAGTAACCGAATAAGTTTCTAGATTTAATTCCGATTCGTTTAATTAATTAATGAGTCCGAAATTAAATATTCAGTCAGCGATATTCCGTTATGTTAATTATGTTTTAGTTCCGATATTATTTTCGGAATTAAATTATTTCAGTCATTTTAGTCAAGATTACCGAAAATTATTTTCGACGTACCGTTTACGTTCGGAATAATTTTGGTAATTAAGCATTATGTTTAATTAAATAATTAAACACAAGTTAGTGATTAATTAACATTAATCACTCATTAATGACACAAAGCCGTATGGATAATGGCATAATGCTTCCAAATCATTTAAATGCCGTACACTTTTCTTAGCTTAAGAAATCAAGTTTTTTCTCCTCTTTTAAGGTGATCATTAGGCTCAAGATATGCCACCAAAGTTCACGGTTGGAGCAAGTGGCACCAATCATTTAGCCATATCTTTTCTCTTTGCCATCTTTAATCCATTATGTTGTGACCTTAAGTAAATATTTTCATGCAACAACCGAGCCTAGTTGTGAGTTTAAGGAATAAAACCGAGCTACTATTTGAAAGTGTAGTAAGTAATAACCGAGAGATTAGCCTACAAAGCCATTGCCGAGAAGGACTCACGTCAATCGATCGATCACGAGCGAGAGCACACAAAGCTTAACATCATTTCACGAGCAATCGTAGAGGTCAGGATGTCGGGCAGGGAGCGTGAGATGACGGAGGCTTCAGGACTTTTATGTTTGACTGTGTATATATTATGACGATTTACGTTTCCGCTGATGATGGTTTTTTATGAACTTATGTTTTGACCGGACTTTTGGAAAAACTTATGCTTTTAGTAATCATATGCTTTTATTAAAAATTTAGATAACGGTTTTCCAAAATAGGTCACGTTTTTACGGTAGCACCCCAAATCAGTTTTCGCAAAGTAAAAGATTTTATTTTTAAATAACTTTGCGAAATTTTCGCACTCTGATTTTACAATAAGGCGGGGTGTTACAAACACCACTTACCATAGCTCGACTAAGGCAACGCCGTTCGAGTTGGTGTACAGGCGCAAACCGCCGACGATC